CCATTTTCAAGCCCTTTTGTTCTCTTTCACTTCCAAGCTAAGTTGACTCCTTCAAACCCTATCCTAAATAACTTTGGTCAATCACATTTTTTAGCGAACCTAACCGTATAACACGGTCAGAAAAATTTCGTCCAAAACCATACTCTTATCTTTTTCGTGGCATATTTTAGTCCTAATTCTTTGCTTTCACCTTTTTCAGCAAGAATACGTTGTAAACCAGATTGTCAGTGAGTTTCCGGACTTTGGGAAATATGTCTCCACTGTTAGAACCCTCTGGCTGATTGACCGTTTTCGCTTTCCCGTAAGCTAAATCCGGAGACCCTATCATTGCCAAATTTTGTGTAGAACTTAATTCAAATGTCTTTTTTGTAATAGGAAGTTCTCTGTTCGTGTCTAAGTCCTGTGGCCACGGGTCAAGTGACTTCACTTAGTCAGTTGCCCGAAATTTTTCCCGACCAAGCTAGGATAGTGGCGGAATACTGTTCTTGCTGTGGCGAGACCGAGTTGGCCAATCTCTTTGCCCCGAATTGCGACGCTTTGTCGTCATCACCTTCATCTCTACTGCACATCGGGTCGTGCGGAGGTGCTCTTCCCGCTCTCTATCACGCTCGGCGACTATACTTCCAGCAAAACGATCGTGATTCTGCGGCCAAAGTGCTTCTGGAAGTGGCTGACACATTGAGGAAGCGTAAGACCTTCACTTCGATAGTTGCGCCATGCTTGTTAATTCCTTACCAAATGACAGTTGGATGTGTTGAAACGGTGCTTTGGACAGAGACGAGAATGATCTCAATGCCTTTGTCAAGCCAATTTCTTTTGGACTAGCACCTTCAAGACAATGCACACTAGCAGACTTTCAAGGAGGTAAAGCGATACGCAGTCTGTTTCACTTCAAAGTAGTGCAGGTCTGAGCTTTTATAATCCTATACGCGGTTGTCCACCGTTGCAACAAGAAGACTGCTGGACGGTTAGGTGTCATCCTCACTGACTGCATGCTCTTTAGAAATACAGTGTCGTTGTGGGTATTGCTGAAGCGTTTACACGCCTCATTTTGTTTAGGCCGAGGATTCACCTTGCTGGAAGTGTTTGTAAGTTTTGTGGCTTTGTTCAGAAGAAACGTCACTTCACGGAGATGCACACACTGCCTGCGATTGTCTGGCAGTTGAGGATTTTCATATCCAGATTCAGCTAGCTACTACTAATACTTTCGCACTCGAATGGCGCTGTTTGAGCAGCTACTCGCTCTTTCCACATTCAGGCGGTCTGTTCTTGGATTTCATCAACCTCGGTTTGACAACATGGGAGGCAGACGTCGTCTTCTCTGATATGCGTCGAAGAGGGGAAAATCGCCTCCTTTATGCCTGTCTCATTGCTCGAGCACAGTACAAGGTGAATTATGTTCCCCTTGGGAAATCGTTCTCCTCCCTCTTTACCTTGTTATTGGTGTTGCACTCCCTTCTTGCAGGAAGCTCAAGACCTTCTCGCCGAGGTTGATTCCGATATCGTTTCACAAATGTCGAGACACAGCACTCACAAACTCTCTAGGACTCCAGTTGTCTGTGCCTTATCATCAACCATAAACCATTGTCTCCCGCACCTTCAATACCTCCTCCCCTTTTCCACTCTTATCAACCCTATTCACTCTAACGAACAAGGCACCTCTTCCACTGATGCTAATTCTACCGAAGAAAACGTGAACAATGAAGTTCACTTGGAGTGCGTTGAGATGGATTCCACTCACGCCTCGCCTGCATCATCGACCGGACAACTTCCAAGGCGGTTCGCAACTCCTAAGGGTCGTCGTCTCTCTATTCAACCTTCCACTGCTGATAGGAATCAAGCATCTGAATTTTGGAACTACTATGATGTGTAAGCGTTCCTTTCAGTCAATCGAAAGGCTTGACTTTTCTGATTCCCGCAATTGCAGAGCTCAGCGCGTACTTCGAGGTGAAAAACCCTTCGAGGCGCAGTCCCCGGTGAAGCCAAGGATTACCGATAGTGCTCGGAGACTAAGTCGGAAATTGCGTCAGTGAGTTTTCATTTTTATTAGTTGAAACCTTTTGTTTGATGAGTTTTTAACAGGTTAACTGCGTCTCTCCGTGAGGGAGAAAGTGTGGTGTCTTCAGTTACCCCTAAAAATGCATATTGCTAGCGTTGAGAAGGGACTAGGCTGCTGGTCATCGCTCATAGCGGCAGCCTGTGTTGTTGGGTAAAGACATGGATTGGTAAAGAAGACTATCAAAGGCACAAATTTTCCTCGTAGGATACTTTATTCCGCCTCAGTGGTGAGTCCATTGCCGATGGCACGCAAACGGACGCTGACGCCTTCCATTAATCTCCCCCGACCTAGAGCAGATACCTCCGAGAATGCTTCTCTCCGTTCGGGCACAGATTTCTGGACTGAGTTAAGTAAACTGCGCGAGGTAGAGTTGAGCAAACCAACAAATGTATCTGCTGCTCCTGCTGCATCAATCCTGAAGGTTTGTGCTGTTGGTTTGGATGTATTAATTGGCTGCTATTTGCAGAGCGCACACCGTCAAATGTTTTCGTGGCGTCCTACTTTAGATGCCTTCTGAGCCGTCCCGAGAGTGTACAAAAACACCATCACCTACTTACAAGGCAACTGAGGCGGATATCTCGTTTCAGGATTGTCACGAAGCCACATCCTCCCTTGAAGTCGATGAAGACGATGTCGAAGTCACGATTAATCCCCACACCCTGCAGCTAGGTATGATCGGTCTTTTTTTTTCAGGATTTGCCTTTTTTGCCTGTTGAGTTCATTTCTTTTATTCGCCCCATCGAGGCGTCATTGAGTTTTCCGGGCAACCTGTGGACCTGCTCCCGGTCCCCTTCCCATAATGCGTTGTCGCCTAGTCTGCCATTTAACTAAGTTCTCCTCTCATGACGTCTTGTCTCGACTTTTACTATCCCCTTGAGTGGGTCGCCTCGACAGTTGGCATTTACGCTGCTCCCTGGGTCACGCCAAAATGAAAGGCGATTCTAAAGTTTGTAGGCGCGGTGGAACCTGTGCAGTTAACTTTATGCTTGAACACATTAATTTGATTCCTTGCGTTGGCTGATGCGTGGTTCTTTTCCAGGTCACAAGGTCTCCATAACTGGAACGATGGCAGAGCAATCTGTGATTTCAGAGTCCGTTCCAGTCATATCGTCTTCCTCCACTAAGTTCACCTTTTCTCCCCCAAATCGAACTGTAAATCGTGTATTTCTTTTTCCTCATTCGTGTCAGCAAGTATTTCATGCACTCATTGTATCTCTCAGGTAATCAGCCGTTCTGGACAGATGGACGAGGTGGCGCAGGCGTTGTGCTCGGCCACTCACTTTGCATTCGCCTCACCGGCCACTTACCTGATGAACAAATTCCTTTCCTCTACTTCGGGTGTTGCCTCCCCGATTGGCGAAGTGGGGAAGGAGTGCGGCCCGTTGGAAACCTCCTACGGTGTTACCTCAACTTCGGGGGTTGAGGAGTGGGTCGAATTTTTTTTTTTCATTTCTTAATGTGAAGTTGGAATAGCACAACGTCTGGACTGTGTTGTTCGCGTTGATTTTGTGCCGTGAAATGCCTTCCAAGTTACACTTAGTCAGAATACGGCCTTCAGTGCCATCTAAACTTGGACTTTATGATTCCCAATCTAAGTCCTTTAGTCATTTGTTGCGATTTGAAACAATATTTAGATGTTTACAAGAGAAATCATTGTAGCTGAAGGCTGTGAGCAGATCTTTGTTTTTCTTAAGCATCTCTGCCTATGAACCTCAGGATGAGGCCATAGAAGACTTGAGAGAAGATGCTGAGGATGCTGGAGATGGGACTGAATCAGCTGCCACTGGTGATGTGCGTAGCGACGCTGCTGAGGCCGTTGTGGCGACCGATGAGGACGAAACTTCAACTCATCCAGGGACTGAAGAGGACGAACGATCAGAGGCAAGTTTGCAACCATCGCGACGTTCCAGACGGAAAGTAAAAAAACCCGAACGATATCACTATTGATGATTGGCTAGGAAACATTCCTTTGTTAGGCAAGGAATTCTGTAATTTTGTGCTTGTTATCATCAGTATTTTGAAATCTGAATGGATTGAGGAGGGTGGGAAGGTAGGGCAGGTGGCATCATGCAGGTTCCTCCTTCCTGCGTATTGTAGTGGCTCTACAGTGCTCATGAGGTCGCGGAAATTTATTCGCGAGCAGTGGCGTTAGGAAGAAGAGGCTTCCAAAATGTGCATTTTTGAAATTGAGGGTATTGACAAACAATTCACATTTTTTGATGTACCGAACGGCATGGTTGAATGTTTGTATTCGAGTGGAAGGCGTAGAGATGGGAACTATGTTATGGCCTTGGGGTTAGTGCGTTCTGCAGAAGCAAACTGGACGCCAGGATGCCACCACTCAGTCGAACGAATTACGGAATACTTTTTAGGTTTCCAAGGGACCATTGTATTGTAAAATTTTAGTTTGTTTGACTGCCTGGATGTGTGGCGGTCGCTTAGGTAGTCTTATTGTTTGCATCGGGCTGGCTGGCTTCATGGCAGCACCAAGGCGCAATTGCCATCTCTTTCCAATGTATCTCATTATTCACCCCAAATTCTGCGGCTTCTATTAACCACAAATGGGCTGAATTCGCTACCTGTGAAATGAGTTTAGCGTAGGATAGGAAATGTTGTGAATTTCATTTCTGGAATTAGTTGAGCAATGGCTTGTTTTATTTTGACAGTCTATAAGAGGGGAGGGTTATTTGGTAGACATCTTACCTATATTGGGTGGACTGGTCTTCCAGCTATGCCGAATCGAGTCACTTTATTTTCCGAAGGAATACGAGTATTCACTCCAGTCACGTAATGAGAGGTCTAAGGAAGCTATGCTGGTGGCATCTAAAAGCAGATCCCACTTTGCAATAATTTGGCTCTGGATTTCATCACCTTTGGCAAACTTTGCGGTGAAAATGAAGCACATAACTCTCAAGAACAGAAGGATTAAAATTAATGTCACATTTTGTTATTTATCGTACTTCCGTAATCCCCTAAAGAGATACTAACAACCGAAGTTTCACCAACCATGAACTATGGAACAACTATTGATGCATACTTATCCTGTAATATATGCTATGGAGTTTAGATACGCCTCTATACAGAAGAGGCAGAAAGTCGACTCGAACGCAAATCCAGTGCGTGAAGACTCCCTCTACAGGCGATTTCTACTGCCCGGCTTATCTATTCGCCCTATCTTCGTTCTTTCTGTATACATTGCCTAAAAAAGTTGCTGCAACCAACCCTCTCCTGAAGTCCGGGATTGAAGGGGATGAGAGTTTGCAGACAGGTCCCACACATCCCACCCTGTCCGCTTATAGATTTTGACAATAAGGAAA